AAAACGTGCCGAAGCAAATACGACTAAATTATTGAAGTAATGGTTCCTTGGGCTTTTATTTCTGCTATGGTAAAAAATATTCAGGGCTCCAATGTGCCTCGCAGAAGGTGTCGTCAATAACCCTCCTAAAGAGATTTAGCGACGCAACACGTAAACGATCCGAATACATCTAAGGTATCCGGCCTTACGCGTCGCACTCTACACTATTTGTAAATATATTGAGCTAATATGAATTTAAAATAGTTGTATTTTAGTAATTATATTAATATTGTATTATATTTTAATAACTATATATTATTAAAATCGTTTTATACTCGTCAGAAATATATTTCTCGCACAGCACTTCATGTTACTTACTGGCAGATTTGACAAGAGAAGTCTAATCTTGGAACACTGCGAATCTTGGAACATGGCGAAACCGAAATCACCGTGGATTAAACAGACAGGAACACATTCTTTTCGCCATATTATATAGGACATCGAGGCGAATTCAAAACACATATTACATGATATTTTGACTAACAAATTACTCGATTTATAGTAGTGGAAATGTAAAATATTTAACTTTTCGTTGTATTTGACTTTAAAACAGTCTAAACATTACATAACACTGAAGAAATTACTGTTTTCGAAACTTTATTTACTGATATCTATTGTACACTCCATACTCTGTAACTATTGCTCCAAACTTTTTCTATCAGGTGGTTACAAAGTGGGTGAAAAATCGTGTTAGAGGTAACACTCTACATATCCCCCCTTTGACAATGAATTTTCTTTGCGGTTACTGCCCTTTCCATCGCAACTGTTCGCACGACTGAAGTATGCATGGTCTTCTTCGCATATCACTTCGGAACGTTCACTTCCTACTGATAATCGCGCTGAACGGATCACAAAAAGTTGAGTCTTAATCATTGTACACTCGACAGCCAATGAAGATACCCTCGTAGCCGATGAATAATTGATCCGCGCGAAATGTTCATTTCTAACGGTGTTTCACCTGAGAGCAATTATTTTCATCGACACGCACATAATCATACGGCCGCGCCCGATAAATAATCTCGTCTGATTAAAGTCATGTCAAGCGGAACAAGCAGGCATGACGATGTAGATAGTGCAACCGTACTCGTCATCAGATCTTGCGCGAGTTGAACGAGCGGATCGTTTGTAAATTACTATGAAGAATAAAGACATTGCTATACCTGCAGTGTTCTGTCTGATGAAAGTGACGGGATGTTGGATGGCAAACACAAAAGATGGAAAGACAAGGAGTCGTTGTGTCAAGATGTTAACGGTCGTCTTGTTCTTTTTTGGGGTTTACACCGGTATCACGGATATTTCTCACACTTTGGACGATATCGACGTGAGTGCAACTCTTTCATATTTTCCTCTTTCTTTAGTGTGTTCAATATTTTGGATGCTTGACGCGTCGTTCGAGTTAAGTTTGAGTTAAGTTGAGGTAACTCTAAATTATATTATATATAATAATTTGTAACTCTAAATAACAGAATTTGTGGGATTAATTTGATTTTCTCCGTGTGAAATATAAATCTATTACTGCATATTTGTCTGAATGTCAAACGGCGTTGTCATGGTTCTACATTACACTGCCTAAAAGTGGCAACCTATCGGTTCGTAGAATGGAACTAAGTTTATTTATTTGCGTTTCTTCTAATAGTTTATTTGTGTTTTTCTTGTTACCTGTTTGGAAGCAGAAAAATTGGAACAGTCACATTAATTAAAATTGTTGTATGTCAAAGTAGGAAAATCGTAACTCAGTTTTCACAAATACCTGTATCACTCAAACGGTTAACGACGCGAATTGGGAATATTTGGTAGTATTGCTGCAAAATCAAAGAACTTTTTACAGAATTCAGATAGAGCGATGATTTTCTTTTCAATTGAAAATGAAATGTTTTGAAATAATGGAAAGTAAACAAAAAAGACGACGAATAAGTTAAATTGGTGATTACTTCTTATAAAAATTTCGTTTTCTCAAGTGAATGTGCGGTTGAATTCTGTGGTCAGATTTGAATTCAGCATTTCAGAAACTGTAAAAATTTATTTATTTAACAAATAATAAACATGGTTCAATGAAAAGTTTACACCTGCTATTAAACTAACCCTAGGTAAGTTACAAGAAATTTTGACTATCGGATATTTTTTCATATTTTACAACATTCTACTTTAATTTAAAGAAAAATCATCTCTTAAGAGTCGATAGTTTTTGATATAGGAATTGGAAACTGTAGTAAGTGTATTAATTAAAGATGTATTGTAATTTTTAATTAACACAACAGTGTTAATAACGAAACAGTGTCATGCAGCTTTACCACCTTGAAATAATTACCTTGAAATGATTATAATTCATATAATTATTATGACATAATAGTAAATGTGTACCAAATACATGTGATACAATATCCTCCATAATTTTTCGGTTCACAATGTAATATTATATTTCACAGTAATCATTGCATTTGTAGAAATAACTATAAAATTTTAATATAAAATTCAATTCTGAACAGAATTGAGACAAGTTTCAGATTTTACTGGTTCTTGTTGTTCAATTAAGAGGTCGTAGCAGTTTGAAGCCTCAAGAAATAGAGATATGCTTTCTACCTTTGTTATTATGGAACAGTCTGACGAACATTTAACATTTCTTCATTACCTGAACACAATATTATTAAGTGATCGATTAAAAGGGTTCACCTTAAAAATATTTCTCTTTTCCAAAAGTTAAAAGCAAATTTTCAAAACTCCTGTACAATTAAAAGTAAATCTTGAATAACTTTTACAAAAATAATTATTCAATTGCATTTCAAATTATTGCACTTCTAATAAATTAATTTCAGTTTCTGTATTTATGAAAAACTTTTCAGTTTGTTAAAATTTTCCAATTTCAGAATATTCTTTATATGTGTATCAATCTTGCATTTATCACGATGGGATTAATAAAATTTACGATAGTGTGCTATTTCGAAGATGATATTCTTGTGTATGTGAGATACGCCCAACGAAATTTTTGGCAAGCGAATTATGATGACAATGAAGAAGTAGAAATGGTGAAGGCGCGAAATTTGTCCACCTTCTACCTCGGAATAACCTATAGTGCATCGTTCGTTGTCGTTAGTAATTATGTACTAACACCAATCCTTAGTAAGTAAATGAAACTGAACGCAGAAATTATAAATATTTTACTGAAACATTAATACTTAGAATAAAAAAATTATTAAAAATTTAATACTCTACATAGAATAATGTTATCAAATTATTTGTCACCGAGATATCCGAAAAATAATAGAAGTATGTTATATAGGTTGATACTGAAATATGTTTATTCGTTTCCTCTGTATTTTATTGAACATCGGAAGAGATAATGATACGAAAAGGTCACTTATTTATAATCTGTACTTCGATTCAGTGTACGTTTCGCCATATTATGAGATGACATTCCTGATGCAGGTATCATCTATTTCGATATCTAAGAAAAATTTGGTACGATGACGATGGTAGAAATGGTAAAAACTGTTAATATATTTGACTGCATTACAATCTTATAACATATTTTCTTTCCTTTCGAAATATATACACTTTACAAAGGTTATATGTTACTCAATAGCTCATTCCCTCAATTACAGTATGGTGTAATCAATGCACTTCTCATTGCTTTTATTTTCATCTAAATTCCAATGCGATACATTCGAATATTTTTAGACCTAGGCGTATCTGTTTGTTTGTCGTCGTTGACGACGTTTTTACAAATAAACTTCTGTCATTTCAAACTTCTTTTTTGGAAACTTTATATATTTACATTAAAAATTTGATAATATATTATTTGATACAATAACGTCGTACAAATGTTTTATAAATTTTCCAATTATTTTACAGACGTTAACCACAACTCAAGTCGCCATATCATACATCACCTTTGAAACATTGTTGCTTATAATCAACTCATACTTGAGTACTCAATTTCGCATATCTGGGTACAGATTGTGCTGTATATGGAAAGAGAACGACGGAAACATTAATTCTGTTGATTACACAAACAAGTGTCACGCGCGTATGAAGAAATGGATTCGACAGCATCAGACGCTCATCGAGTTCACTAACGGGATCGAGCGTATATTCCGAATTCATATCTTCTTGTATGTGTTGCTTGTCAGCATGTTAATGTGTCTGGGCGCGTATCAAATATTCTTTGTAAGTGTAGCGTTATATAAAATATTAACACTACAACTAACGAGCACTCAGATTAACTTTTGTAACATTTTTATTTGGGAACTCTGAAAATGCATCTAATGAGATTTCGATTGACTCGCATTACAATTTTCGTATTACTAAATTCAGTCATTTCTTAGAGAAGTATATGTACCTGTTCAATAATTGTGAAAAAAGGAATGGACCATTTTGCTGCATTTGGGAACTTTAGTATTAAACTGACGCAAGTTGAGAAGGGAAGAACGAAGAGCATTTAAAAGGGTTCATTAATGTGCATCACAGAGTACCATTTATAAAGTAATTGAAACCTAATTATTGAAGCAAACTTGTGTCATAATGAAGAAAGTCACAGCTGTGAATGTTCTATTACGTCAATAACCTCATAAATTCAATAAAACGCTAGTTACCTAACTTCTACACTGAATTATTTTCCACAGATAGAATCAGTTGCCACTAGAAAAATAATTTTCATAGTTTTCACTATCGGTAGTGTCGGGCAAGTGATATTATTCAGTTACTCGTGTGGTAGTTTGATAACCGATAGCGAAGAAATTACACTGTCAGCGTATGCGACATCGTTATTCTCGGCTCCGATGGACAAATCTGGCAGGTTATTGCGAAAGGATTTGCAAATAATAATGTTGAGGACACAGAAGCCCTGTTACCTGACTGCCTGCGGATTCTTTCCTATATCCTTAGAAACATCGACCAAGGTGCGCAGTGTTTAGATAGAGTAACAGTAAAGTTAACCCTTTGTACTATCATTGTTTTCCTAACTTGTTCTTGGTCAACTCTGATTTGATTCTTCTAGTTCTAGTAATGTTGGGAATAAAAAAATGGTTAGAGATACTTAAATAGTACCAATCGATATGACTAGTTTCGATTTTTTGTTTCGTAATTGTTGATTACTTAAAAGCATTGAATATTTGAAATAATTGTGGCAATAAACAGTTTCGTTTGAATACTATAATAAATGTCTGAAGAAACGAAAATAATCTATTGTTACACTTTTTATAGGGATTACAAATGAATCGTATTAAATGCTCAGTAGTTCCAAGTTAATAAAGTTATTTTTCAACGATTTGTTTAAAAATTGTATGTTTTATAATATCATGTCAAACTAATAACGACAGTTTCAAATAGAATTTAATAATAACAAATATTATTGCATTTTTCTTCGTTCGGAGTGAATGAAGAAAAATAATTTCAATACTGCTTGAATGATTATCACTTGAAAAATCAGAATAGAATAAAATATTCTAATATTTTCAATTCCATAATGACACGTTTCTCAAAATGGAATTATCTTGGAGTAACAAAGGAATTTATTTTGAAATCTTTACAAATAGTCTTTTCGCGAAAATGTTCTATGTTTCTGACAATATTATTACTTTCAGCTTCTCAGTACCGCGGTATCTTACTTCACTTTATTAAGGGAATCCGCAAGTGCAGATGAAAAAGGCATTTAAAACTGAAAAAGAAATTTTCACTAACTGTACACGTAAATACCGACAACGTTGGCATAAGTAATAATCAGCAAGAATATTGTGAATTATTAATCTGCCAAATTGGTATTTTACGCCTTCGAAATAATCTTCCAAGGACCAGAAATGTTAATGTCTACGTCAACAGTTATTATCACGAAGTGAGAAAATGGAATGAGAACAGCAATTACATAGCAAAATGTCAACGAGTTAATAGATGAATTTAATGAAGCAATAAATATAACGAGTAAAACATTTTGTCAATTTTAAATTACTGTTCTACTTAAGTAGTACTCTTTTATACAGAGTACTCGACAGTATTCATCACTTACTATCATTACAGATAGAAGACAAGATTCCAAACAAAAATATTTTCTCGACAACCCGATTTTATTTAATTTAACCTATTGCACTCCAAATTTTATTGCACTCCACAGATTATACATACATTTACCAGATCAGATCAAATCACAAAAAAACCTTATGAATTTTACATTATACAGGTACTTACTTTTTTATCGACCAAACGTAGTCATAATGAAAACACCGAGTATTTGACATTAACATTCATATAAACAAGGGAATCGTTTGTTTCCTATTATTTTAAACGTCAATATTACATGTTTAAGTAAATTTTTTACTTTCAACGTGTAAATAGACATAAAAGTGTACAAGAAACATCAATCCGAAACAGGTTATTCAAAAATTCGTAAATTTCAACGAAGAAGATTTAAATATCTATAGGGAAAGGTAAGGTAAAAGGGACGCTTTTTCCCAATACCAAGGGAATTTCTTTCAAACATAAAAATGTCCGAAATTTTTTAAAATTCCGAACGTGAAGTCAACCAATTCGTCCAGTCAGCAATTCACTCCATAGAAAACAATAAAGTACAAAACACTTCACGAAACTTACCAAATAAGACGTGGTATGCATGAGTTTGACTTCTTTCCCTTCTGTCCCATTCGATGTAAATCCAAAGAACGTCCATTCTGCCTCAAAATCATTCTTTCTCGAAATCTAATACGCGATTGCCGGCCGGTGTTCGATGCAACAGCACTGCCCTATGAATCATGAATAACTGATCCGTACACTGCACAACTGTTTTATTGAAAAGCAGCAATTGGGGTTGCACGTATAATTCCACCCTCCTGCAATCAACCATGAATACAGAGCATAGAAAAGGTGAATAACGAATGACAGCGGATCAAAGGCCAAATCAGATCGATCAACTTCCGATTTGTTGATTATCAACGCAAAAATTTCCCTATGCAAATTTCGAACGAATAGGGTTGCTAGAGCGTTCAACACTCGTCATGAGTTCGACGCGGTACAAAGACGTTTCCATTGTCATATCAACCTTTCTCATGAAGTGCGTGGGCATTTGGTATGCAGATAATCGTGTCGTGCAACGGTTTAGATACTGCATGTTGGTCTTCACCCTTCTCACACTCTTATTCTGCGTCTGGATTCAGACACGCGACATTTATTACACCTGGGGAGATTTTAGCGTAAGTTCAGAATTATTGTTTATTCTACTTTACATGCTTGTCATTTGAGTTTTTATTTGTTTCTAGAATGCAACGCTCAGAGAGTGAATGCAATTGTTTTGTTACATTTTTGTCAGTGCTTTATAGAGGTCTATTGCTTTCAATAATTATTGGTAACGACACAAATGTTTTAATACTTCGATAGTATTTTTCGACAAATCAGCTTCGGATTAATTAATCGATTCACCAATAATTTAGGGAAGATTTGTATAATTAACAACGGCATTAATCATTTAAATAGTTAATATTAGTATTAAAGACTTTAATAATTAACATAGTAATTGAGATTTCAATACTTAACATAGTATTAAAGATTCAAATGATTAACATAGTGATAAATATTTAAATAGTTAATATTAGTGTTAAATATTCAAACAATTAACACTCGTAACTAATTTCCAATGGATATTCATTCTCATTGTAGGCCTGCACGTATGTCGCATGCAACATTATGTGCTTGAACATCGCTTTGTTCAAAATATTGATCCTAGTTGTACACAAACAGAAATTCCTGAACCTAATCCGGTACATGGAGAAGCATTTCTGGCATACGAACTACACACTGTACGAGCTGGCAATCCTCGCCAGATGGAAACGCATCTGTATTTACTTCATTTCTAGCTTCACCTTTTTTACGGAAACTGCGAATGTCAGTTACACGGTCATACCGATTATAGGTACATGCACTACCACTCAAGGATAGTTTCCGATGTTCTAAGTTTATGAAAGAAAATTTTAAAAATATAACATAATCCATCATTTTTTGTCTTTAGTAAGTTTGCCCTGTTTAATCTGTATTTCGACAAATATTTGATCATAAATTATCATAAATTACTATTCATGACAAATTACTTATTTTTTTCATTGATCGCAGAATTTTCTCGTTTAAAATTGTTTGTCGCGCCTTATGTATTTGATCCACTTACACGTATATATTTATTATCTATAATTCACTTTAAACTACTCTGCGAATCCAATATATCTCATACTTAATGAGTTAATTAAATTACATTAACTTTACTTATACTTTAAAATTTTTTACAATCGCAGTACTACTATAAAACAATAACCATTAACTAATTAGTAATGCTAAATATTTTTTTAGTTAATATTGGAAAAAATGAGTCAGACAGGGTGCTCCCATTTAACATGTGGCTAGATTTGCCACTGTCTATGACACCATACTTCGAAATAGTATTCACGTTGCAGGTTAGCCTTTCCAAAGAAATTCACATTTTATTACACCGCCGTACGAAATTTCAAACACTTTCTATTGCAATTTCACATTAACACAAATGCAATTCAATTTTAAATTATGAATTGCTTCGATTTCAAACTTCCTTTTCACTCGTCCATGTTAAGAATATAATATTATATTTGGCTAACGTGCAAATATGTCTGTCCACGAAACAGTTCGAATTTCACTAACGTAAATTAATTCTAACCTTTGTTAATATTATTCAGGTTCTCTCAGTATGCACCGTGGGTATATGTTACATATGTTGCGACAACTTCTTCTGCATTATGAATCTACATATGGCTGGTCAGTTTCGTATATTACAAAACAGATTACAAAACATGTACAGTTTACAACGTAACAATGAGAAACATGAAACACCGAATACGTGGACTGCTAAGAAGTACTACAGTACTATTAAGAATTGTATTCGGCAACATCAAACGCTGATCATGCACTCCAACGAGCTTGAAGAAATCTTTAGCCCGATTATACTTGCGCAAGTGTTGGCATTTAGCTTACTGATTTGTCTCTCTGGATATCAAATAGTACTGGTTAGTATAGCTTATTAGATTAAATGCTGTCAAATTGAAACATTTTATTGAAATTTAAATAGCTTTAAATTATAACTATGTCGTACGCAATTACTGTTTATGGAATAAGAAAATAAAAAGATAATAAAAATCTACATGAAGTTAAGAAGCTCAGACTCGAAGTTAAAAATATAATCACAAAACAGTTAAACCGTTTATTTTGAAAGTGGCTTAAGTCCACGTAAAAAAGATTTAAAAACTATTAAAGAATAACAAGATTATGTATAATTACATCTATTATAACAGTTAACTTAATTTCTTTGAAAAATGGACTCATGTTTTCAATAGCAGCTTCGAGAGTTATTTAAGATTTGTTCCTTATCTAAAATTTTCAAACGATTAAAATCGAATTATCAAATAAATTTAGCACATAAACGATTCCTTTATAACAGTGTTAGGTATTTTTTAACATTTTTTTTATATGAACAATTCCTTTGTAACAGTGTTAGATTTGGTAACATCTCACGAAGTAACAAACGTTAATTATTCCTATTTTCCACTCGAAATATAATAACTGTTTCATTTTCACTATTTTCCTCGTCTTCTCGGTGCAATGGACCAAACAGGCTGATCTGTCTTCGATCAGACGCTGCACGTTCGTGGCCCTATTGATATCAACTATGTGTCAGCTATTCATGTTCACGTACAGTTGCGATTGTCTGATACAAGAAAGTTCAGGGGTATCCGGTGCAGTATACGCAGGCGTCTGGATAGAATTGCCGATGGACAGATTTGGAAAACTTTTTCGAAAGGATCTGCAGATGGTCGTAATGAGATCAAGGCGACCTTGTTGCCTGACTGCCAATAAATTCTTCGCGGTTTCATTGGAAACTTACACTAGCGTAATTATCAGCAACTTCTTACTGATTAGTAACTAAACCATGCACTTCTGCGTGAATTTATGTTTCAAGGGAAATTGTAATAAAAATTGATAATTATAAGTCAATTTAAATATGATAGAAACCTCTTTTTTTTGCTAATATTTCTATGGTATTGTAAATAATATAGTATAATCTGTAAGTTAAAATTTCTGTGCTGATAGATGTTCAAAATGAATAAGAAGGTTCAACAAGTTTTTGTAAATTTTTGTGAGTATTGCACATGTGTACAACGATTCAAATTTTGTAATGCTGATGAAACGTAGGTATTAGGAAAATTATATTTGTGCTTACATAGCATCAAAATTAATATTTCAAAGACGAATAAAAATCCCTGTTTTCTCTGTTACAGATACTGAGCACAGCAATGTCGTATTTCACTCTACTAAAACAAAACTCAATCGATATGTAAAATGCGTAATATTTCAATAACAATGGCGCACTATAAGTATACGTAATTTTATACATTTAATATATAAACACACAAAAAAGTATGAATTTTCAACTACAATTTTGCATAAAACATCGCAATCATTTATATATACCTGATAATTACACCCTCTCAACCCTTTAATACACAAATTTTCTCTGTATGCAACTGCGAACTTCAAGTCAACCGTTACTCACATTTCCATCTGATTAACAATATAAAATCGTTACCATTCAATTTTCCCTAACAAAAGCCTTTCGGTTATATAAAATAAACAAATTATAATCTTGAATTTAAATAAATTAATAACCTCTAATACGCTTTTTCGAGAATCGTTTGAGCCCGTGTGTCACGGAAGTATGCATTAAGCGGTTAATCATTAAAAGAAAAATCATTAAAAATCATTGCACAAAGCGTCCAAGAATTTAAACTTCAATCAATCACACTTAAGGGATGACGACTACTTAATAATCAAAAATATTACTGACTATTAATTTGATATTAGAACACGGAACGCTCCCAACCATTTTAACCATCCTTACTTCCAATATTCCATTTAAAAAAAGCACTTCA